CAGACCCTTAACCAACTGAGCCACCGAGGCCCCCCCCCCCTCCTTTTAAAGATTTGTTTATTTGAGAGAGAAAGAGAGAGAGCACGAGGGCGTGGGGCAGAGGAAGAGGGAGAGAGAGAGACTCTTCAACAGATTCCGCTCTGAGAACCGTGGGGCGGGGCGGGGCGGGGGGTGGGGGGTGGGGGGTGGGGAGGCACACACACCAGGCTCCAAGATCACAACCTGAGCCAAACCAAGAGTCCCACTCCTAACCGTCTGCCGCCCAGGCACCCCACCCCCTTCTTTTTTCAATTAGGTAAAATCGACACATGTTTTATACAATTTCAAAAGGCACAGAGGTGTATATTATGAAAAATAAGTCTCCCTTCATCCTTGTTCCTCAGTCACCAAATAGAAATTATGTCACTAGTTTCTTGGGTAGCACTCAGAGGCCGCATTTCTTTGAAGAGCAGCAGAGCTGCCCATTGTATGGACGTACCATATCCATGCACCAAATTATTTTGGTGTTTCATTAGTGGGACACTTAGATTGTTTCTAACGCTATTATCCACAGGATCTAAAGTCTATGTCAATCAATTACTTATCATAGTGTTTCAGATTGTATAGATACACCATAATTCATTTCTCCACTGATGAGAATTTAGGCTTAAATACCGTTTGCTCTGCTCCTAGAGCACTTGTACTATTAGGCACTTCTGCCATTTTGCGGGCAATGTAGTTTCCTAGTACTCACTGCACTGAGAGCTCCTCAAAAGCAGGGGAAAGTGTTCATATTCATCTTTATAGCCTTATAGCCTAAACCCCGAATTTGGTCCAGAGTATACACTCACCACGTTTGAGTGCAATAATAATCGTATCGCCCGCGCTGAGTTCTGGAATCGAGAGCTGGGAGGTGGAGCGAGGGGAAAGCCGCGCCCCTTCGAGCTGTCCCGGCCTCAGAGGGCTCGGAACCTTTGTTAGAAGCCTCATTGTTTGTGAGGGAGGGTTTTAGCCTCAGCGCGCAGCCCGCACAAGCAGGGTTGTTACGCACCGGAAGTAGCCTGTTATTTTGCCGGAGTCGGTTTTTCCGCGGGGCGGAAAAGGCTTGTCAGCATGTGTCCCTACCATTTCCAGCCCCCTTTTCTTGCAGGACCCCATGAGTAAGCTGTGGCGGCGGGGGAGCACCCCTGGGGCTATGGAAGCCCCTGAACCCGGTAAGCGCGGGTCGATAAAGCAAGTTAGGCGTTCGCAGAAAAGCAATCCTATTTTGCTCTTCCGAGCCTTCGGGGTACTTCGCCACAGGTGGGAAGGAGAAAGGCGAGTCTGTTGTTATGGTAACAGCGTGTCGGGCTGGAAGAGTGGGGCCCTTCGGGGGTATTGGGTTCTTCAAGGCTCCTCCTGTCCCGCTCTTGTCGTAAACCGTTGACAGGCTCTCCTTACGCAGGGGAAGCGCTGGAATTGAGTCTGGCGGGTGCCCACGGCCATGGAGTGCACAAGAAAAAGCATAAGAAGCACAAGAAAAAACACAAGAAGAAACACCATCAGGAAGAGGAGGCTGGGCCAACGCAGCCGTCACCTGCTAAGCCCCAACTTAAACTCAAAATCAAACTGGGTGGGCAGGTCCTGGGCACCAAGAGGTGAGGCCAAGAAAGCCAAGGTTTTACTTGGGGAAATTTAGGAGCAGGCAGAGATAGAGGGAGAAGCTGGCTGGGCTTTCCAGTAGACAGAGGGTGGACACTGACTTCAGGGCCCAGGTGAAGGCAGAACCCAAGGGGGGTAGGGGAATGCTGGTTGTAACTGTTAAGCAGGAGGAGAACTGCTCAGCTTACATAGTGGTTGCTTCTCTGCAGTGTTCCTACTTTCACTGTGATCCCTGAGGGTCCTCGCTCACCCTCTCCCCTTATGGTTGTGGACAATGAAGAGGAACCAATGGAAGGAGTCCCCCTTGAGCAGTACCGTGCCTGGCTGGGTGAGAAGAATCTGGAGGTGGGGAAACTGGGCTTCTCATTATATCTGGTTAACGGAAGAGGGTTGGTTCTGAGGAGGGTGAGAATTTTGAGTGTCTCAGTATTAACTTGGCCAAATTAGGGTTCTCCATCTGAACAATTCTACTTTTAGCTCTCCAACTTTGCTTTTCAGATGAAGACAGTAATCTGTCCCCCTCCCCACTTCGGGACCTGTCGGGGGGCTTAGGAGGTCAAGAAGAAGAGGAGGAACAGAGGTGGCTGGATGCCCTGGAGAAGGGGGAGCTCGATGACAATGGAGATCTCAAGAAGGAGATCAACGAGCGGCTGCTCACTGCTCGACAGGCAAGTTGGTTCATTCTTTGTTCACTGGCTAAATATATATTGAGAACTTCTTATGTCTCAAGAATGTTGCTAGGCAGTGGGGATATCAATAGTGGAAGAAAGGAAAGGTTTCTCTTCTCATGGAGCTGGTATTCGTGTGTGTGTGTGTGTGTGTGTGGGTGGGTGGGTGTTGGGGGAGGGGGTAAGTAATTGCAAAAAGTATGGTTTATAACAAAAATAGGGTGATGAAATGGAAAGCGGTGGAAAGAGACAACATTAGATAGGGAAGGCAGGGAAGACATCTCTGATGAGATTACATTTCCAATATCAAAGGAGCTTTTCAGGCAGAGACCAGCAGGTGCAAAGACCCTGAGAGTGGAACATGCCTAGTAGTGGTCAAGGAGAAAAATAAGTGTGACTACAGCATGAAAGGATTGTCTGCAGGAAAGTGATTTGATTTATATTTCAGTAGATTACTTTGGCTTCTTATTGCAGGTAAGGAGTAGAAGCAAGACCATCCAGGAAGCCATTGAGGTAGTCAGGTGAGAGGTGGTGGTGGCCTGAACCAAGGTGAATTTATGGAGGTAGAGGAAATCAGATGGATTCTGATATGTTTTGGAAATAATTGTTGGGAGTTAGGGAGCGGGCAGAAAAGAGGAATCGAGGGTAACCCTCAGTTTAGGGCTTGAGCAATAATCCAATTGATGCTATCCACTTGAGATGAAAAGATTTTTTTTTTCCAGGAGAAACTTTATTCAAATTTTGTGTCATTAGAATACTTCCAAAATCAAACACAGTATTAGTCAAATGTTTAACCAGACAGGCAAGGCAAAGCTTCAGGAACAAAACAAAAAATCTGAAGGACTTACTGCTAACAAAGCCATTCCCCTAAGTAGCATCTTATACTTGTCATAAACCTGTAATTTTCTGTTTTAATTTACACACTATATTAAAAAGAGAAATATTTTTTTTTGAAATTTGTGTAATATGTTAGCAAATTGTGTAGCAAAATAAGTCCTCATAATTGATTAGGAACATATCACTTTTTTTTTTTTTTGAAATATTTTATTTATTTATTTATTTATTTATTTATTTGACAGAGATCACAAGTAGGCAGAGAGGCAGGCAGAGAGAGAGGAGGAAGCAGGCTCCCTGCCGAGCAGAGAGCCCAATTCGGGGCTCGATCCCAGGACTCTGGGATCATGACCTGAGCCGAAGGCAGAGGCTTTAACCCACTGAACCACCCAGGCATCCCAAGGAACATATCACATTTAAAGGGATCCATATGTACAGCAGCACCACTATAAATACACTGCATAGTCACCCTGAGATCTATTTTGTTTTCAGTGCATATCAAAGTTTCAAAAGTTTCAAAGTTTTCAAAAATGACAGCTTCTTGTGACTACATGCTCTTGATTTTCTCAAATTCTCTGTCGGTTTGGGTGAGATGCCACTTGTTTAAGCAGCTTCTGACTAACTGGACATATCTGTGGGTCCACTCTTAAATCTAGATCACCTCCAGACTCCCTTTCTTCAATTGTAGCATCATCGGTGACACGAAGCAAAGATCTTTTCCCACCGTTTGGAATGAGATGAAAAGATTTAAAACAGAAAAAACAAAAACACCTCCAGAGAGGTGGTAAACAGAGTTTTGGTATTCAGGGCAGACAGGAACCATTAATGCTTTTCTTGTTTAGAGTCAAGGATCTGAAGATGAAAGTCTGGAGATCTGGGAGGAGGCAGTACTAAGGCTCCTGGAGAGGGTGCTCATCCCCCCCTTACCCTCAAGGCCAGTGTTACTCAAGAGCCTGCTTTCCAGATCGCCACTGTCGCCCCCGTCCCCCCAACCCCGGTTTGGGCAGACGTCGCCCGCCTGACACCTCTCGGTGTGTCTCTCCCCAGCGAGCTCTGCTGCAGAAGGCGCGGAGTCAGCCTTCCCCGATGCTGCCGCTCCCTGTGGCTGGGAGCTGTCCGGCCCCGGCCCTCACCGAGGAGATGCTGCTGAAACGCGAGGAGAGGGCGCGAAAGAGACGGTTGCAGGCGGCTCGGCGGGCGGAGGAGCACAAGAACCAGACTATCGAGCGCCTCACCAAGACCGCGGCGCCCAGTGGCCGGGGAGGCCGAGGGGCGGCGCGGGGCGAGCGCCGCGGTGGGAGGACCGCGGCCCCGGCCCCCATGGTGCGCTACAGCAGCGGGGCACAGGGTTCCACCCTTTCCTTCCCACCTGGCGTCCCCACCCCCGCGCCATTGTCCCAGCGGCCGTCCCCATCTGGCCCTCCCCCTCGATGCTCGGTCCCCGGCTGCCCACACCCCCGCCGCTACGCCTGTTCCCGCACGGGCCAGGCGCTCTGCAGCCTTCAGTGCTACCGCATCAACCTGCAGATGCGGCTCGGGGGGCCCGAGGGCCCCGGGTCCCCTCTTTTGGCTACTTAAGTCCCTAACCTGACCCGGACTCTGCGCCCTCTCCCCTGTCCTGTTTTCATTATGTTCCCCACCCTACTATTAAATTTCATCCGGTGCCTCGACTTGAACAGAGTTGGGGAAGTGGGGTATGGGTAGGCCAATGCACTGTACACACACTTTGCCGTCACGGGAGATTGCGTCGACACATGGGAAACGGCCACTAGGCCGCAAGAACACTGGGGCACTTTTGGAACGCGACCCTTGCCCTGCACCGCTTCTTCCAGTGGGGTTACCTGGCTTGGTAAGGCCTTCCGCGTCATCCCCGAAAATAGCGCTCAAGCCAATCAGCGGAGACTTTGCTTTTCTGGACGGCCGCTTATTGGCTGGCAATTCCGAGCCCGTTCTGCTGTCCATATTGGCTATTGTCGCTGTCAGTCAGGGCCATGGTCGAACCTTGCCCCGCTCTTTGTCTGTGTAAGCTCCTGTTGTCTGGGAGAGTGGCGGAGGCGCTGCTGTAGATTGGTCCCTGGGAGAAACCTCTGGTCCGTTCCTATTGGCCCGTCTGCCGGCGGGCGTCGCTGATTGGTAGGATCGAGCAATCTGGGTGCTAGTTGGCAGAGCTCTCCCCGGATGGAAGCTCCGGCCGCGGAGTGATGGTGGCGGCAGCGAAGATGGGCCGGGGAGGGACCATGGCGGTGGCGGCAGAAGTGGCAGGGGCGGGGCGCCTGGCGATAGAGGAGGCTGTGGTCTACCGGGGGCTGTAGGTGGAGGCATGGCTCAGGCCAGCAGCGGGAACGGCAGCGAGGAGGCCTGGGGGGCACTTCGCGTGCCGCAACAGCAGGTATCCCGACTGCTCCAAAAACCTATCACGACAGCCATTTATTTCTCTTTCCCCTCTCCTTGTCCCTTCCTTTTGGGGGGTTGGGGAGGAACTCACGTAGCCAAAGATGCTGTGAAGTTCCTAAGTATGTCCCTTCTACTCTTTGTCTAAACTTTGTAATGTAGATGCAGTTGACTTTGCCTGCAGCTTCTTAGACCCCCCCCATCCCATGGCTGCAGTGGAAGCTTGCAGTGGCTCTCCAGTGACCAAAGGCATAGTGAGGCCCAGGGAAGCTCCCTCTGTCTTGCAACAGTTATTTGTGATGTTTTTCTGTGTGCCTGTTGTCACAACAGAGTCCAGCAGCGTCTTCTCTTGAGGGAGCAATTTGGAGAAGAGCTGGAACCCAGACTCGCGCCCTGGATGCCATCCTTTATCATCCACAGCAATCCCATCTGGTTGGGAGCACTGCTCTGTGTCTCAAATGGCCCTTCCTCTACCCTAGGAAGCCTGAGACCCAAGGGTGGAAAGATCCAGTGTGGGGGTGGGGAGGCAGCCCGTGGGGGGAGGGTGGATAATGAAAGCATCTTAGCATTGGAAACTGCCTTAAACCCCTTACCCATTGTTTGAGACTTTGAGGTAGCTCAGACTGCCCCCTGGCTTCTGCCCAAACACTCCCTTAACAGAAAATACCCTGGGAGCCAGCCCCAGTGTGAGAGAAGTCTCTGTACGCAGAACTGAAATCTGCCTCTTTGTATGTCCACACCTTGCATCTTGTTTTCTAGACAGATTCTTGTTATTCCAAATCCTCTGCCATGTCAGCAGCCCTTCAGATATTTGAACACTCCTCTCACTGTCACTTTATCCCTCCCCAGAGATCTCTCTGAGCTCAACTTGGCTCACAGGGTGGGACTATGTCCCTGCATGCAGGGGTGTGGGGGTGGACAGTGCCTGGGGCTGGGATCTCCTTTGATTCTAAGTGCCTCCTTGCTCCCAGCTTCGAGAGCTCTGCCCAGGAGTGAACAACCAGCCCTACCTCTGTGAGAGTGGTCACTGCTGCGGGGAGACGGGCTGCTGCACCTACTACTATGAGCTCTGGTGTGAGTCTCCAACGGGGCTATTCTCGGGTCCTTCTGCTCATCCTCAAAATTCGTCGGGCATCAAAATTCCAAACTTCATGGACCTCTGTCTACCTGGGAGGTATCTAAGACCCTCCTTCCTCATCCCTTGCAGGGTTCTGGCTGCTCTGGACTGTCCTCATCCTCTTTAGCTGTTGTTGCGCCTTCCGTCATCGACGAGCTAAACTACGGTTGCAGCAACAGCAGCGCCAGCGCGAGATCAACTTGTTGGCCTACCACGGGGCATGCCATGGGGTTGGCCCTGTCCCTACCGGTTCACTGCTTGACCTTCGTGAGTGGCTTGAGGCTCTGGGCACACTGCCAGTGGCCCCTCCCAACCCAGATACCTGAATCATCCCCACCTTCCCTTTTCAGACATTTCAAAGCACACTTTCCCTAATAGCAAAGGTACCACTATCCCACCGCTGGCTGCCGCACAACCATGCCATTCTTTCCTGCAGGCCTCCTCAGCACCTTCAAACCCCCAGCCTATGAGGATGTGGTTCACCGCCCCGGCACACCGCCGCCTCCTTACACTGCAGCCTCAGGTTGCCCCTTGACTGCTTCCAGTGACTGCACCTGCTGCTCCTCTGCTTCTAGCTGCCCTGCCCACTGCGAGGGAACAAATGTGGAAGGTGTTTCCTCCCACCAGAGTGCACCCCCTCATCAGGAGGGTGAGCCTGGGGCTGGGGTGAGCCCTGCCCCCACACCCCCTTCTTGCCGCTATCGCCGCCTGACTGGTGACTCAGGTATTGAGCTCTGCCCTTGTTCTGACTCCAGTGAGGGCATGCCAGTCAAGGAGGCTAGGGCTAGTGCCACCCCACCAGATCTGGAGGACACTTGTGTGCTGCCCCTCGATCCTATACCCCACGTCTCTCCTGTGGGGCTAGCTTCCAGTGAAGGGGACATCCCATAAACAGTTTTGGGAGGGTGGGTGAATTCCTTGCCCACTAGAAACAGCCTGGGGCCCAAATCCTTGAATTCTTCTTGGCCTCTCCCGCCATCTCGAATCTTCCTGAAAGGGGTGGAGTCCTGAGGAAGAGTGGCAGTGTTTGGGGGACTGTGCTAGCTCTACCCCCAAAAAACATACACAGGAGCCTTTGATCTCATTAAAGAGATGTGAACCAGCTGCTTGTGAATTTGGGTGGACTAGTGCTCAACTTGCTGCATTGCACTTGACCTAACTGGATTTGGAGGGGACATGTAATGACCACTTTTCCCACCCTCCTCTGAAGAACAGTAGACAGTCCTAAGGTCTGGACTGAGCTAAGAACTTTTGGTGAGGCAGAGCTGGCAAAAGCAATAGAGTTTGTCATGGTTTTCCATTTATTTAGAAAAATAGACTCTGAATTCACATTCACCCCAGGGCTGTGTGGGATGACAGTAAGGAGACACCTGAGATGAGCTGAGGATGGTTTGAAGCACTAGTATCTGAGGGCTGGGAGCAGAAGCTAGAGACCTTGTCCTTCTATTCCAGAGTGCAGGCCTGCCACCCCTCTCACCTTCCCCTTAGTAGTCTTCAGCCATGGCCAGTAGGACAAGGCTGGTCCAGCCCTGGAAAGGGCGGCAGCCCATGCCCAGCCCATCCCGGTCACTGTACTGCTCCCAAAGGAAACCTGTGGCCTGATACTGCTGCCACACATTGCCCACCACATTGGCACGGAGCTCACTGTGGAGCTTGGCAGCCCGGGCCTGGTGGGGACCCTCCAGATGACCATAGTGGTAGAGAGCTCCTAAGGCCAGGTAGTTGACATTGAGCCACACAGCACCCCGCCAGTAGGGAGGATCGTGCTCTGAATTGCGCTGGCCATAAAAGGGGCTGGAGGCTGCAAGGGAACGCAAACCAAAGGGGCTCCAGAGATGGCGGCTGTCAGCTAGAATATCCAGCAGGGGCCCAAGGCGGGGGGAGTTGGGGTTCAGCAGCCGCAGAAGCATGGGAAAAAGACTGACATAGCCCAAGGCATCCACATACTGTAAACGAGGGTGGGGCCGACCCACTACCCGCACCAGCCCCTCTGGGGGCCGAGGCTTCAGCTGCACTGCTCTTGTGTGGTTTCCAAAGTCTGCAAAGACTCCTAGCTCTGCGGCCCAGTGCAGCTCATCCAGGCTCTCTTCTGCCTCCAGTGATGCAGCCAGTGGGCCCAGCTCTGCAGCTGCCTCAGCCTCTCCTAGCTGCTCTGCCAGCTGCACCAGCACACGGGCGCCCAGGGCCACCCAGCACCGCAGGTCCAAGTGCCGCTCACTGGCCGAGGGGTGTGAAGCCCGGGGATAGTCATCCAGCCCAGAAGGTAGTGTCTTAGGGTTCAACAGGGTTGGCAAGGCAGGGTCCCGGCCCCGCCACCGATAAGATAGTGGCACTGGCCCTGCCTGGCTCTTATGGAGCCAGGAGAACCAGGCACGCAGACGGGGGAAAGCCCTGCGGAGGAAGGCAAAGTCAGCAGGGTCACCACCCTTTAGCATGTGGGCTATAGGCAAAAGCAGGGTTGGGGGATTGGCATGGGCTGCCCTTTGCACCAGGAATTCTGGAGGCACCCGGGCTCGGGCCTCATCCCCCAGCACCTGCTCCCGTCCAATCCAGCCATCAGCATTGAGCAGTCCCAGCCAGTGACCTAGGACTTCCCGAGTAAGGCGGGGATCCCACCGCTGGACCACCAGCTGGTGAAAGCCCTCATCCCAAAGGAAACCTCGTGGGAAAAATGACCGGGAGGGCACTGCTGTGAAAAGAGGAACAGGTGGAAAGAGAGCTGGGTCCACCTTCTGCTCAGACCCCTCAACCCCCATGTCTGCCAACACTAGACCCTGTCCATAGAAGTAGCCAATCCCACCGAGGAGGCCACTGAGGGCAGCCTGACCCAAAGCCTGCTCCTCAGGACTCAGGCCCTTCTCCTTCAGCTGAAAAGTCTTCTCAAAGTGCTCTTTAAAGGCTTCAACACGGCTCTCCAGGGCTTGGGTCAGCAGGCTGCCTGCCAGCTGCTCCAGGGGTTGGCTTCCTCCTGCCCGGGCACTGCCCGATTCAAACACCAACTCCACAGAAAAGGGGACTTTCAGTGTCACCTGTTGTATCAAGAATTGCCCTTGACCCTGTCCTTGCCCACTTGGGCCTCTGTCCTCCCACTTCAAAGATCCTGGCAAGCCGAGGTAGCGTTCAGGGGAAGCCCCTGGTGGCCGGTGCTGGAACCAGCTGTTTAGCCGGCTCTTCACCATCTCTGTCAGCAATGCAAGTCCTGGGTTGGAGGACCAGAAGACATTGTAGCTTGAAGGGAAGAAGATAAATAAGAAAAAATTACTCAGGAGAAAATGGTGAGGAATATAAAGAGAAATAAGAGGAGACCAGGAGTCAGGATGGGAGGGTCTTGGCAGTGCAGGGGACATGGAGCCTGGTGAGTAGGGAAATAACCAGTGGAAAGAAGGTAGACTGGGGAAGACAGAAATCAGGCTAAATCAGCACCCATACCACCCCTACCATCACCCCCACACTCTTCCCCCAGTTACCTGCCATACTTGGGGGCAGTGTCCCCTGGATTGGTTGGTGCCGTAAGTGTAAGGCGGAAGTCACCAAGTTCACTGGAGTGACCACTGATGAATTTCAACTGCCCCTTGGCCCCAACCTCTGGCACTAGGACTTCCTTGCCATCTGTCACCACATAGAAGAACAGGGACACCAAAGGGAGGGCAGAGGTACCTGAGGTCTGGGTGACCAAGGAGGACAGAAAAACACAGCATTAGATTGGCAGTATCTCCTGGAAATTCAGCCTTACTGAAAGGGCCACCATGCAGGAGCAACATGGTAAACTATGTCTACAGTGTTGAGGGTCAGTGAGGGTAAGCACCCAGTGAGATGAGGTACAGAGGCTTGCACAGGGTTTGCTGGGAAATTATAATAGAGTGCTTTTGTGTCATATACTATCCTAAGAACTCTACATATCATTTATCATTTTCTTTCATTCTTATAATCCTATGAGTTAAGTGCTACTGGTATCTCCGTTTTGCAGAAAGGAAACCATGGCTTATGGATAGTAAATAGAAATGGTCATACACTGTTTAAGGCAGGCGGCCAGACCTGGAGCCCCTGCAGTTAACTGCCACATCATACTGCATTTGCTAGCAGAAATGCCAGCAAAGAAAGGGTGGAGGGAGTCGGCTGGGGGAAGGGTGTCCTGAGGCCCTGACCTGAGACTCTACAGTCACTCTCCAGCTCCAGTCCCCTCCGTGCTGACCCCCAGGCCTCTTGACGAACTCAGTGGTGAGCCTTAAGGCCCCATCTTGGATGTGTTGCCGCCCGAAGGAGAGACCGTCGTGGAACTCCCAGCCATAGGGACCCACGCCGTCCCCCTGTTCACACGTGTGCCTGAGCTTAGGGGTCCCTGGGGTGGCGCCTTGCTGAGCCCACATCAGTCCTAGGGGTAGAATGGCGACGTAAGTCAAAGAGAGAGCAGGGGACCTGTCCCTCTGGGTCTCCGAGAATTTCAGGGTCATCCCTCCTCATAACTCTCCAGAACAACACCCCTCCCCACTCTTGCTCTGGCGTGAAGCTGGGGCTCCCAGGTTAAGAATCCGCCTGCCTACCCGCCCGTCCCGAGGCCCAGTTACCAGTGAGAAGGGGCTGCGGGCTGCGGGTCTTCATGCCGAAGTAGACGTGAGGGCGGTAGGTGCCCCAGAAGAGGTCCGGGGCCACGGCGGCGCTGGAAGAATCGGGAGGCAGTGCCGGGGGCGCGGAGTGCAGTGTGACCGCCCGCCGCGCACGATGCCACGCCAGCAGCCAGCATCCTGACAGGCCCAGGGCCAGAGACAGGACCACGACGCCCAGAGCCGCTCTCCAGGCAGAGCCACGGGCCTCGCCGCCCCGTCGTCCCGGGCCGCCCCGAACCGCCCTTTCAGTTGTCCGAGTTCCGTCGGCCGCCGCTCCGCGACGCCGCCGCTCGCCCCGAGCCATCCCAGCACGGAGGTCTGCGTTGAGGGAGCTCGGAGAGACGGCAACGGAGCCCGGGTCCTGCTTCGCCTCGACTTGCGCAAGGCGCCCGGGCGTCCACAGATCTGTCAGCCGCACCTGCCGGTCCGCGCCTTCCGCTCCGCTTCCGCCTCCTGCCGGAAGTCCCGCCCCGCCACGTCAGATTAAGTCTCCGAGTCCGGAACTGCCGCCACCGCCGTGACAAAGGGCTGGTTGTCTACAGAGTTTCTTTGTCATCCTCGCGGATTTCACAGGCTAGTAGAGAAAAGTAATCTCACATTGGCTTGTTTTTTAAATGAATATCTGTTAAGAACCTGAGGTGCCATCCCGAGTGTTTTACATTTAACTGCCCCAATAGGTGAACGAAAACTGGCCTAGAAAGTTCAAGTAACTTGGCACTGGCTACAGAGCCAGGAAGAGGCCAGCTTGGGGCCCGTGTACCTGAAACAGTCTGGATCACTTTGCCCACGCCCGTGACTTCCTTCCTAGTTAAGTGGAATGTGCCAGAGTGGACCCAAGAGGAAGCTTGAGCTCTGTTCCAACAATGTCTTTAAACAATCCTCTGACAGTCTAGGATTCCTTATCTAGCTGAATCCTAAAAGGACTGTTATGGTGGTGCATGCACTTTAAAGAATGCATTTTACCCCCCTCCCCTCCTTTTCTACAACCCAAGAAGCAAATCAGCTTAGGGGAAGGATCAATTATATGCAGGGGAGGGAAAGCTGTAGGAAGTAGCACCTGCACCTCAGGGGGACCCAGGAGAGTTAACATCACAATTAATGGTGGTTCAGAAAAGCAACTTGGATTTAGCTACTTGTTTCTCACCAATAGCTTCGCATAAAAGATGTGTTCATAAAGTACAAGTCCCTATCATCCTTTAAAAAACCCTACTCAACACCATGATGCTACTCTAGCTCCCATCCAAACTCATTATTTAAAGCTAATACTGTATATTGCATGTCCACTTACAATTTTGCTATAATCTATTTGACACCGCCTCCTCCGCTGGTAGACTTTTTGCTCTTCCAACAATCATCTTCTGACCAATCCCAATAGTCACTCCTGTCTTTATCTTTCTTGCTACTATTGCATCTAGTTCATATCTCTATTGTAGCATTTATTACATCCCTGGGTTTCATTATTCATCTTTGTACGTGTACTAATCAAAGTTACAGGCACAAGGTAGATAGTAAATATCTGTCAATTCAACACATGTTTATTGCACACTATGAGTATCAGGGATTATGCAAAGTGCTGGGGACACAGAGAAAAGAGCCCCAACCTCAAGTTCACAGTGCCAGCATTCAATCTGTGTTTACAGCAATGTCTGAACCATCCCCACTTTTTCAGATGAGAAGAGTGGTAAAATCTGTCCAGAGATAAGTTAACCATCAAGCTGAGGAACAAATCTAGGCTGTCAGTATCCTTTTGGCTACAGCATAAGCCCTCTTAGACAAGACTTTTGCTCCCAGTAATGTTCTAGGTGCTTTACAGGTATCGGCTCATTTAATCCTCTCAACAGTTCTAAGAGATAGGTACTATTATCCCCATTTTATCTGTGAGGGAACAGGCACTGAGACTAATTTTCCACAGGCACAGAGCTACTTAGGGACAAGAGTTAGGATTTCAACCCCAGAAATTCTGGCTCTTCGCTACATCATACTCCCTCCTGATAGGCTGTTTGTTTTTTGGTAGTTTCTTTTTTAAAGGGGGAGGGGGAAAAACCAGCTCTTGAAGACAGCACCCTTTTAAGCAGAGCAGCACTGTAGTAACACTGTTAACAAAGTCATGGAAAATGTATTTGGCAAAGAATACAGAAGACAGTGTCTACAGATCCTTGATTGCCTAGCTAAGCATTCTGAAGTTCTTTAAACCCGTAGCAATCAAGCATTTTTTCCTACAACCCAGGGTAGAAATAATTCTACACTGCAACCAAGTACATGCAGATACCCACACATATACATACTTCCTACTTTATATATGTATATTGTTTATAGGCTGCAAAATTTCTTAAAAGAATACTTCTCTCAAGGCACCTGGGTGGCTCAGAGGGTTAGGCCTCTGCCTTCAGTTCAGGTCATGGTCTCAGGGTCCTGGGATTGAGCCCCTCATCGGGCTCTCTGCTCAGCAGGGAGCCAGCTTCCCCTCTCTTTCTGCCTGCTGCTCTGCCTACTTGTGATCTCTGTGTCAAATAAATTTTAAAAATCTTAAAAAAAAAAAAAAAGATTACTTCTCATTCCCTGTGCCATGCACTCTGATACTATTCTACTTTACTTTGTTTTTAAAAGGCTGATTTATCCCCTTAAATTGATTTCATGATCCACACCAATGGGTAGCAACCCAGTATGAAAAACAGGCTGGGTACAGTGTGAAACAAGGAGACATAAAAACAGTGATGTGCTTTGAAAGATAAAGTTAAGCAGCAGCAAAAATGATCAGAAAAAAGGAGACTGGGTGGGAGAATACAATGATATAGTTATTGGGATATAAGTGAATGGGAATGGAGAAAACATTTCAGAAGCTTTTAAGACAGAATATTCTGAACTTACTGACTGGATATGCAGGGAAAGGGAGAGGGCAGAACCAGAGAAAATGCTGTGGTTTCCAGCCTCCGTGGCTGAGAAGATGAAGTGCCTTTAAAAGGAATGGGGAAGTCAGGGTAAGAGGCAAGTATATGTGTATATAAGATTATCAATTCTATTTTGGACAGTGTTGTGGACTTTGGAGGTAATTAGTAGATGAGATCCAAAGAAAAATGTAGGATTTAACAGGAGAAGGTAGCTCAACTTATGACAGAGGATGAGGTGCCCCAGAAATAGAAAAGAAAATGAAGGATGAGAGTGGTACACTTTTATGGCTAAAAGGAAAAAACTATAAGAGGAAGAGAAGTTCCACAAGGGAGTGAATTAAAAGTGACAGACGCTACTGAGATGGAAGGATGAGGATGGAGAAAAACATCACTGGATTTGGCTGATCAGAGTAAGAGGTACCTTGGGTGAGTGATGGGTGAAGCCAAATTCAAAACGGTTAAGCACAGGATGATGGTTAGAAAGTGAAATAAGGGCGCCTGGGTGGCTCAGCGGGTTAAGCCGCTGCCTTCGGCTCAGGTCATGATCTCAGGGTTCTGGGATCGAGTCCCATATGGGGCTCTCTGCTCAGCAGGGAGCCTGCTTCCCTCTCTCTCTCTCTGCCTGCCTCTGTCTACTGTGATCTCTCTCTGTCAAATAAATAAATAAAATCTTTAAAAAAAAAAATCTTAAAAAAAAAAAAAAAGAAAGTGAAATAAATTCAAGTTTGTCCAGACCCCCTATCTGATTGTGTCTTGTTCCAGAAACGCTGGTTGTATCAGTAATCACATGGCTCTCTCGCTTTTTTTTTTTTTTTTTTTTTTTTTGGCGCTCCGTGTCCCTCCAGATGGTGATTCGAGTGATGACGTCTCTCAAGCTCTTCTCAGGTGGGTATCCTAGCCATCCCAAGCTAAAACCTGCTTGTTGGGCTATTTTGCGCTATCAGCGCCCGGTACTCGCGCCGGCCTTGTCCTCGCTCCCCGCCGTAGCCCTGGCCTGGATGTGGGAGGCAAAGGCTGTGAGCATTTCCTGGGCGGTGAGGTGAGCGCCGCGCATAATCAGACGATGCCCGTCTCCTGGGGAAGAAACAAACGAGTCAGGCACTGGGAGGGCGGCGGTGCCGGGACTGAGGGCGCGCGGGCTGCCTGGCACCCCTCCCGCCCGCCTCCCCACCCGAGCCCACCGAACAGCACGTCCACGCAGGGCTCGGAGCCGTCGTGCCTCACGTCCGCAATCACCGAGCAGTTGAGGTTGGTGGAACGGACCTTCTCGCTGCTCACCGCCTGGAGGAAGGTCCTGCGGTGTGAAAACTGTTTGAGCTCCCGGCCCGGGGGGCTAAACCCCCGGCGAGAGGAAGGCGCGCCCCTTCCCGTCCCCGCTCTTTCCGCCTCGTACCTCGTGGACTCCACATTCTTCTCGAAGGGGCAGAACTGAATTCGAACCTGCTTCACCGACCGGAGGCCGAGCCGAGCCAAAGACGCCGCCATGGTGACCTCCGCGCCGGAAGGCCTCGCGCGGCCGGAAGTGTCCTCTGACGCAGCGCCCCCTCCCCTTCCTGCCCCCAGCGGCTGCGGGGTGCGGCTCTCCGACGCTCTGTAGTGTTTGAGCGCCCCCGCCGCCGACCCGGGCTACCCAGCCCGAGAGGAGGAGGAAGGCCGGCAGGGAGGGAGGTGGTTAAACACAGAGCTTGGAGGGCCCTGAAGTAAGCGGTCAGTAAATACCTATCAATAGTACAAGTAGACCTCTTGTACCACGGTGAAGACAATAAATAGTGCAGAAGCCCTTGTGCCTGGCTGCGGTAACACGTCCGTCTCCTGCAGCCTTTACCCCTTCCGTACGCCGTACGCTGCTGTGCCAGATCTAGGTTAACACCATCTTAAGCGCTGGTCCCTTCGGTGGGGACACTACCATGGCAGGGATTATATAGCTACGGGGGGTCGGGGGGACCCTACTCAGGTAATTGAAGATTAAACTTGTTGAACTCTGAGTAACGGCAATTTAAACGTGAAGGTCCTTTAGCCCAGTATTCTTAAGTGACTGAAAATAGTTACGAGACGGGGAGTGGAGGGTAATACAACTCCTGGTACTGATCTAAGTGTAGAAATGCCTATTCCACCTCTGTGGTTCCTGATGAACTAACTTTGTGTTTAGCTTGGCTCCTAGGACTTAAAAGGAAGTGGCATCCTGGTCTCTCTGTACTGCTTTTTCCCTTTCCCTTTCCTCTGGGATCCAACGCTGTGGCCCTTCTCCCAGTGCGAGTCCTGAGAGGTCTTCACTGTTGGGGTACTAGGCCTGAGCCTCCCACGGATGCTGACCTCCAGGTTCCAGGCTGTGGTTTGGCCCTTTACTCTGGATTGCAGGCACTGGAGTGATCACGGATGCTTCACTTTAAGTCCAGGTTCTGTGTAGCTTGTGGTTCTCAGGTAGCCTTTCTTCTAAGCTCCCAAATGTAGGCTTTTTTAATATGCAGTTCTAAATATTTGGGCTTTCCAAGCCAGAGTTGGGGAGCTCTGACTTTGTGGATCCTGGTGCTAGGCTCCTTAGGATTCAGGACTGATCCCCAGGCAGGAAAGAAAAGACAAGTGCCAACGTGGGCGCTGGTGCTGCCTCAGGGCCAGCCAGGCCTGCTGATTTCCCACCAGGTAAGCCTCTGGGCTAGGTCCCCCTCCCCACAGTGTGCTTAGCAGCTGAGCTGTCTGAGCTGGGGGTGCTCCAGGCCGAAGAGGGGGCTCCAAGCTTTCTAGGCTGTTCAGGCTGCTGCTAGGCAGTTCGATGGACTGGACCTCATTGCATGTACCTGGGAAGGCAAGAGTGGAAAACAGGCAGTGGGTAGGAGGAGGGGTTTGACAACTGTTGACAACCACACGAGGTAACTAATGAGGATGGGAGGTAGGGCACATAAAGTAGCAAGGGGCAGGGCAAAGAGCCTAGAGTTGGGGAAGAGTGACTCACAGCAACAGGGAGGCCTCCTCTGCACCTCAGACTTAGGCAGGGGCTGCTGGAATAGACACAGCAGGGCACCATCCAGCCTCTGGAAGATGCTGAGCGTGAGCAGAGCCTGGCGAAGTTCCGGGGACAGGCCCCACTGTTCCTCCTCCAACAACTGGCGGACCACTCCAAAGTCTTGTCTAAGCTGCAGCGCCCCCTGCAGGCTGAGTGAAGGCCAGGGTACAATGTGCCATGGGCCTCTACTGCCTCTGCAACTGCTCTGCCCCACTTATCCCCTCCCCTTTGCCAGGTCCATTCAGCCCTCCGCCATTGCCTCCTTTTCTCCCCACCTGAACCGGATCCCGTGCGCCAGGATGTGGTCAAGCCAGGCACCCAGGATGGCTGTCAGTGCCTGGCCAAGGGCAGGGGCCTGCGCTTGAGGTGGCAATCCCTGCAATCCTTGCAACACAGGCTCCAGGACAGTGCGAACCACCAACCCAGCATACTCACTAGGAATGCTGGGGAGTTCTGGAGTGAGAGAAGAGAAAGGCCAGGATATGAGGCTATGGAGATCCGTTGAGCCCCTAACAGAGTGTCTGGGGGAAGACAGTAAGATTTGCAGGGGCACAGAAGGCAAGGACAAGGATGGAAACAGAGCAGTAGATCTAGGATTTGGAGGGGTCAGAAGACTATTACCCTTGGGAACTGTAGAAGGGGATGCTGGGAAGAGGAGTTACCCGGAGAGAGACGATGCCGCCAGTACCGACCCTGTGGCATGTAGATTTCGAAGCCCTGTGTGGCTTGTTTATGACATTCTTGAAAAAAGAGACTTAGTGACTCCTCAGGCAGGAGCTGTGGACATATGGAAAAAATGAAAGGGGCTTACCTGTTACGGACTTGCCAAGTTATGATGCTCTTCTAAATCTGAGGTGTTTAAACTGGCTTCCATAAAGACCCAGAACAGAACTGTATGCATAATTCTACGGGCTTGGGCCATTCTGACAAGAGATACCCTAACTTTTATTGGGTCTTCCTAAAGGCCGGGACCCAGAAAAGATTATAGACAATTGCCATAGGATTACCCTGCTTTCCTTAGCTTGGTTCAGCATCTAGAAGTCGTCCAGGTTAATTTTACTTTATAGGAACATCAAGAGGAAAAAAAAACAGGGACACATCCTCACCACTATGAATGTTCCAAAGCAAATGCTAGAGAGAGGGGTCTGCATGACCTACAGACAGGCAGAGGCTGAAGAAAGGGAATTGTATGGTCTTTCATCAACTGTGAAAGGAAGGCAGGAATTATATGCAGACCAGGAGCAACGACTTTAACTTTCTGAGATTCAGGAACCTTTGGAATGTCCTTAACACTGAATATTTTTTACACCCTATTTCCATTTTCCCAGAGTAGTGTAACCTATAAAGCAAGAAAAAGCCCATGTGCTGGTTTGGTTTCTGTGCTTTGATAGGTTATCTTTTTGGAATGGGAGAGCAAAAAAGAGGGGTCTCTTCAGCCTATTTTGGAGAGGAACCCCAAGAAATGGGTAATGTGGTAGCAGCTCTGTAAAGACAAGGTAACTGGATGCTTGCTAGCCTGAAGAGAATCAGGGGTTTGGGGGCCGGACAGGGGGAAGTGGAGCCCATGCAGCTCCTGATACATATCCTGACAGCGGCCTATCCTAAATCCAATTCTTCCTCTTTTCTGAAAACCCAGACTCCCTCTTATTTATGCCAAGGAAATTACCCTTTTGTCAACTGACATTTGTTAGGAATCTCCCTGCATTCAATACTCTGAGGAAACACAGGGTCACATTATGAAAGAGTCTTTCTGTCTGGGATGTTCCTGGAGGAACAAGGCATGCAGAGTCCTTCCCACAATGGTTAGTTCCCATGGTAAGCACATTGTTCCTGTCCCTGTTCTCACAACTAGCAAGAGCTGGACTCTTCTCTTAGGTCTCCTTACCTCCCAACCTGACCACTATAGCTGGATGAGACTCTATCAGGGTCTCCACTGTTCCCCTCCTGCTCCTCCCGTGGCTTTCCATCTCTCATGAGACAAAGCCCAAATTCTGTGGGCTGATGTTCAGTGTCCTCCACAATTTTATGCCAACCTGCTTTCTCCTCCACAGTCCCCCATCCAAATTTGGACAAAAGTGTGTGGTGTATGTGCATGTATGTGCACACAGGCATGCACACAGGGAGTTTCTGCTTTGGTCAGTCATCTCCCCATTACTCCCTCAAGGAACTATGAACTTCCCATCTCCAGTAACCCCTGCCACTCTTCTGAGGCTGCGTAGCCACCACCTTGAGCCACAGACCCTGTAGAGAGCTTCTGTAACGACATGCCTGCCATGGCCTGCCTTCCTTAGGGGATTCCCATGGCCATCACTGGGCAACGCCCTCATGAGAAGCCTGCTTTGGAGTATGTTGAGTTGAAGAGACAGCAATAAACTGAGGTGGAACAGGCAGGTGCAGATCGTAGATTAGGGCTAAACTACGCAGTGTAACACCAAGGCACTGTGAGTAAGCAAAGATGCAGAGAAAAAGGAGCAGAGGGACAAAGCCTGAACTCTATAGCCTTGCCCCTATTCAGGGCACAGGAGAAACTGGGGCAGGAAGAGAAAACAAAAAAACTGAAACATCTTCCATAGTAGGAGCAGATACTGTGCAAAATGGGGAAAAATTAAAATAAAAATATAATATTATAAGTTTAGAAGAAAATAAAATCTTAGAAGACAGGCAAGAATGGATGAAGCTTATCACTGTGGAACAGGAATCAGAAGTGGGTTGGGGCAATTAAAGTGCTATTTTTTTCATTATTTTAGAAGTCTTCAATAATATCCTACTTCATTTTTAAACTATGGACATGTATTACTTTAATAAAAATGTAAATGAACATGGGGGGTTTGGGGGGAGGAAAAGAATAAATGAAACAAGATGGGATGGGAGGGAGACAAACCATAAGTGACTCTTAATCTCACAAAACAAACTGAGGGTTGCTGGGGGGAGGGAGGTTGGGAGGGGGGTGGGGTTATGGACATTGGGGAGGGTATGTACTATGGTGAGTGCTGTGAAGTGTGTAAACCTGGCGATTCACAGACCTATACCCCTGGGGATAAAAATACATTATATGTTTATTAAAAAATAAATAAAATAAAAGGCACCATTGTTAGTTAAAAAAAATGTAAATGATAAACGTAGAAAAGAGGAGAAACATCCTCTCAAAGCTAGTAAGTAAGGGGCTGACTTTGGCTCAGGTCATAATCTCAGGTCCTTGGATCCAGAGCCCTCCACACACCCCCGCAACTGTGCGCTCAGCAGGGAGTCTGTTTGTCCCTCTCCCTTTTCCCCTCCCCCTGATCGCGCGTGCTCTCTCTCTCTCAAATAAATAAAAGCTTTTTTTTTTTTTTTTTTTTTAAAGCTAGTAGGGCTGCCTGGGTGGCTCAGTGGGTTAAGCCTCTGCCTTCAGCTCAGGTCATGATCTCAGGGTCCTGGGATCGAGTCCCACATCGGGCTCTCTGCTAGGCAGTGAGCCTGCTTCCTCCTCTCTTTCTCTCTCTACTTGTGATCTCTCTCTGTCAAAAAAAAAAAAAAAAGCTAGTAGATAGGGGCACCTGGGTGGCTCATTGGGTTGAGCCTCTGCCTTCGGCTCAGGTCATGATCTCAGGGTTCTGGGATTGAGCCCCACATCGGGCTCTCTGCTCAGTGGGGAGCCTGCTTCCCCCCACCCTTGCCTGCTGCTCTGCCTACTTGTTATCTCTGTCAAAAAAAAAAAAAAAAAGCTAGTAGGTAAAAGGAAAGATTCAATTATTTATCTTGCTTTTTCTTTACAAAATATACTTCAAAGTAACCAAGTAACTAATGAGGGCAAATTTCTTTATAGGAGTAAGTACTAATAAATAAAGATATGATAGAATTGGAATATCACCACTTTGCACCCCCTAATGAAATAATGGATCTAAGCAGTTATCTTCAGTGGCTGTTAACATCACAAAATGAGAGCCTGACCTATAGATGAAACAAAATTGACCACAAGCTGATAATTGTTAAAGCCTCAGTGGTAGGAATATGGGGGTCCATTATACTCTTTTCTCTAATTTTGTATATGTTTGAAGTTTTCCATAACAAGCTAAGGGAAGAGAGAACAAAAATGAACAGAGCAAGAAAAAATAAAATCAGCAGAGACTCCAAGGAGATTCCAAGTCACTGGAATGTTCCACGACTATCACCACCACCCCACCCCCCAAACTGGGCATAGAACTGACTTTTCAACTGCCACTGTCAGGGCCCCCGCTCTTCTCACCTGGATCTGTGAAGTTAGCTTCTGGATCTCCAGGCCCAGTTGCTGCTCCACTTCCAGGCCCAAACTTTCTTCTGCCGCCACTCTAGACAGAGCTGCTGCCTCATGCAATAGAGGCTTTGGCAGAAACAGGAAGTGAGATTTGAGTCCAGCCCAGGCTGTTCCCCTTCCCACTTGCTAGTTACTCACAGGTAAGTTCTTCTGGATCAGGACCAGGAAGGAACCTGGGGCCCACGCTGCCAGATGCTGCTGAGTTTTGCCCAGAAACCAGACCAAGGTGGTCTGCAGGGTACAGAGCCCCAGAGCAAGTGGTGCGGGACCTGGGGAGAGGAGGATGGAGTATCTGAGGGGTCGTAGAACCCCTCTGGGAGGAAGCAGGCTTCAGAACAGAGTAAAGGAATAACGGGGACATCTTCAACTGTTCTGTTCCTCCATATCCAGCACCTTGTCTCACCTGGAGGCTGACAGAGGAGCAACCCTGACCTGGGTTCTCGAAGGGCATCCAAGAGAGGAGGGAAGAGCTGTTGCAAAAGTTCAGTGGTATGAGAGGATGAGGCAAGGCTGCTCTGATCTTCACCAGCAGATCCCAAGGCCTGGCAGAAGCCTGAAGATGAGGGATAAGGTTTGATGAGGAAGGAGCAATCTGGGGCTGTTTCACTCCCAATGCCCCTTCCTTCTCACCTTGGTCCCAGCTCCAGGTAAGAGACTGATGAAATAGGTTGCGACACAAAGAAGCCAACTCCTTCTCACACTCCTGAGGCAGGGATGCTAGTGGGAGAAACGGCTCTGGAGCCTGAAAAGAGGCCTCTCTTTTTCAGAACTACCTCCCACTCAATGACGGGGGAAGAGGGGAGGCTGCCACCAAGACTCAAGACTTGAGTAGAAAGGAAGACTGGCCTTGAAACCCAGATGCTAGAGCCTGTCGGGTCAGGAGGGGGTTAGAGAGTTAGGAGTAAGGGGTTGGGGAGGTAGTGTTCATTCTAAAGGGCCTGGTTCTGCAGTCCTCTTGGCAGGGGAGTGACGTGGCTAGGGAGAAAAAAGAGACCCCGGTCTGCCCAAAGGCCCATCCAGGCCCCATCACTCACCCTGACCCAGTGCCTGACTCAGCTGTTGTGCCGCTGCCCTTCGGTCCCTCCAGGGTCCTAGACTTAGGTCCAGACTCTGAGCACAAGCTGCCCACAGCAGGGTCCAGTACCGGCTCCACAGGGCTCCAGCCCCTTCAAGCCCCAGTCCACTGGTGGTTGAATCCGCCACGCCCCCTAGCAGCCCCAGCAGCCCCGGCAGCAGCTCCCGCTCTTCTTGGCACCGACTGCGGAGCTGATCCCGCAAGCCCGCTCCCTTGAGCGCCTCACCTAGCTGACCCGCCACCTGGCAACCCCGCTCCCCCGTCAGGAGGCGGAGCACACGGGCGGGCGGGAAAGGGCGCGCTGCCCCAGGGACATGGCTCAAGGCTTTTTCCTGCAGCTGATGGTAGGCGGGAAGCGCCAGCAGCACGTCGGCAAGTTGGGAAGACAAGCCGGTGCTGGCCGCCTCCCGACCCAGAGCCCGAAGCTGCATCTCGATGGCAGCATCCAGGCGCTGGGCGGCCAGTCCGATAGGGCGCGCCAGGAGTAACGGTACGGGAGTTTCCCGTAGGCCGATTCGCAGCACAGCTCCTCGGGAGGGGTGCGGTAGCAGGTCCCGGCACAGCTGCGGCCAGAGGCCGGGGTCGGGGCCCGGCGCGCTGGCACTCATGATCCTCAGGAGGCGCACGGCCGCCTGTAGGTGGCGGGCGTAGTCCCGGGCTTGGAGGAGCTGCTCCCGCTCGCGATGCAGCCGCAGCAACACCGCCCGGAGACGCTGCAGCGCGGGAGGGATCGGGCGGCCGCCTGCCGCCTCCCGCCACCAGTCCGCCGCGCCCTCGTCGTGGTGCTCTCTGGCGTCCGCCGGCGCCGCCCACCACGGCCCCCCTCCCCGGGCTCCACCGGGCCGCGGGTCTAGGCAGGGGATGCTCCTGGCAACCGGCAGCCACGACCAGCTACGAAAGTCCCCGCCAAGAGTCCCCGCCTGCCTTCTCTCCCACTGCTCCTCCACGGCGCCTCCGGGTTGCGCCCTCAACGGCGGCACGGTAGGAAGCGGAGGCAGAAGGCCACCAGAACGAGATGCCTGGGCCATGGGGCGCCGCGTCCGGGACGAACCTAACGATTCCCACTTCCACGCACTGCCCAACGCCCGCTGCCGCCGGGACTCCGCCCCGTCTCAAGAGCCGTCATCTCTAGCCCTGGAGCCGCCGGGACCGTCATGGACTCTCTCGCGCTCCGTAAGCGGAGGCTTCTGCCCCTAACAAAGATGGCGGTCTACCCTGTGCTACTCCGCCCCCCCCCACCTCCCCCCCCACCCTCCCGGCTGTATCAAATACCAGGCGGTCTTTCACTTTCGGGTCACTGTTGATGGGAGATGGCGCCGATTCCGAAGGCAGTGGGGCGGATAAAGTTAGGTAAGCAGGTGTGACAAGACGACAAGGAGGTCCAGGAGGGGAGGGACAGCCCCACTTGGGTTTACCTGTTTTCAGTAGGGTCTTGTGCTTTACGGGGTGGGCGAAAGGCTCCGGCCCATCCTTCCCAATTCCCTTGACGTGCCACCGCCTTCGTTTACTATAGACTGTCCTCTGCAGCCTGGCTGCCCGCTGGAGGTCGCTGCTGTCCCCAAGCTCTGCCAGGAATTCGGTCCCGAGGACTACGGCGCCGAGGTAAAAGGACTCCTAGCTCCCCCTCGTCCCGTTTCTCTTGATCACGCCTTTCTCCAGCCACACTGGGCTGGGAGGGCTCGGTAGAGGCGTAGCCTGGGGCTCGTGCTTGGAGGAGCGCGTGGCAAATGGAGGGTGGTGAAAGTGGGCAGGATTGGGCGGACGAGGGTCTGAGTTGAGAATTGGGGAGTGGATGGGAGTTCCTTAGGGTAAGATAATATGAATAGAGGGAAGAATGTGAGCAAAGACACCAAGGCAAGGAAAAGTTTAGAAAACTTCACTGAAGTGAGACTTGAGTGATTTGGTTGGAACTGCAAGAAATGAAGGGAGGGAGGAGGCAGTAAGTGGCTTGAAATGCTTGGATGTCCTCAAGTAGGTGATAGGGTTATTGAGGAGGGGACAGGATCAGATTTGGGAGCACTTAAGAAGCTGTATTTCCAGCTGCTTCCTGGGTATCTCCAAACCCTCAAATTCAGCAATTCCGTTAGTTAATTCATCTACTTTGCAAGTTGATTGCTTTTCCTCTAACTTTAGTTTTGGCTAGTAACACTAACGGACATCCAGTTACTTAATGCAGGAATCTGGGAATCGTTGTATATAGTCCTCCCTTTCCTTTACGTCACACATTTAGCCAGTCACTAAAGTCCATTTTGGAAATGTCTCTCTCTCTCTCTCTCTCTTTTTATAAAAGATTTTATTTATTTACTCATGAGAGACAGAGAGAGAGACAGAGGGAGAAGCAGGCTCCCTGCTGGGCAGGGAGCCCCATGTGGGACTCCATTCCAGGACCCCGGGATCATGACCTGAGCCTAAGGCAGATGCTTAACTGATTGAGCCACCTAGGTGCCCCTGGATATGTCTCTTGACTGTAGCCCATCATTTCCATTCCTGCTTCTGCTGCCGCTTCCTTAGCTTAAGAATTCATTCTTTCTGTCATAAGGGCCTGCCAACTAAACATCCCACCCCTAGAATCATGTCCTCCCTACCCCCACCCCAGTGCTGTTTCACTTGAGTGTTTGACTTGAGTGCTTCACTCCCCAGATCAGGTCCACTCCCATCCCTAACAAGACAAAGTCCAAACTCCCTGGGTCACACAGGGTTCTTCAGAGCCAGCTCCTGGCTGCATCTCTAATAGAATAGTCTCCTCACCAATCACTCTGCCTTTGCTCACTCACCACACTTACTGAGCGCCACCAATGTACCAGTTTTAGGCACTGGGAAGACAGCAGTAAACCAAACACAAAAATCCTTTTAGTCAGTGAATTAGAAGCATCTAGTGGAGGCAGCCAGTCAACAAATAAACAATATAGTATGCCAGATATGAAAAATACAAGGAAAAATAAGAAGGGTAGGGAGTGCTGAATGAAGTTGAGTTTCTCTTTTTAAATGGAGTAGTCAGAAAGGGCCTCCTGGGAAAGGTTTAGCAGGCAAGGATCTGAAGGGGTGAGCCATTCACTGGCGAAAGAACATTCCAGGGAGAGGAAGTAACAAGGACATAAGCCCTGAGATGGGAACACACTTGGTGTGTTGTAGGACCTTCACAGACCACTGACCACTGTAGCTAGAGGTGGGACCAGAGGAGAGGAGATGATTCATGGAGAACTGGGGAGCCAGATCATGGTCAGCCACATGGTGAATTAAGACAATAGCACAGACTGTGCCTAGGGGAGAGGTAGAAGGTCAAGATCATCCCTTTTTTTTTGGTTTGTTTTTAGAGATAGCTAGACTTGGCCAGTTAGGAAATTGAATTAAACCCCGGAGGAAATTGAATTTGAGAATAAGACTTGATGAAAGCCCACAGCAGTGTCAGTGAAGATGCTATTGAGTCAGAACTATCTCCTGAAGGATAACCTACCTCTGAGACTGTTTAGAAAGTTGACCATACCTCCCTGATCTGAAGTCCTTGCTATGCATTCATTTAGCACTCTGGTGTTTCATGTGGCTTCTAAGTTTCTCAGTCAGTGGGCTACCACCTAGTCAGGGGTGTGCTCTGTTTACACCTGAATGGCACCAGAAGGACAGGATGGCTCCTGTCCTCCTCCAGAGCTGACACTAAATGAGGAATCTTGTAAGAACCACAGAATGTAACGGGCGAAGCCTTCAAGAGTCTTTTTTTTTTTTTGCACTTTTTTTTTTAAATTTTTAAAAAATATTTTATTTATTTATTTGACAGATAGAAATCGCAAGTAGGCAGACAGGCAGGCAGAGAGAGAGGAGGAAGCAGGCTCCCCACTGAGCAGAGAGCCCGACGCGGGGCTCCATCCCAGGACCCCGAGATCATGACCCGAGCCAAAGGCAGAGGCTTAACCCACTGAGCCACCCAGGCACCCTGCCTTCAAGAGTCTTATCTCATGTTGTGAATGATGAAGCCAAGGTTCAGAGAGGTTAAATGACTTGTCCAGAGTCAATCGCCAGGCAGTATGGCAAAGCCAGAACTAAGATGCAGGCAGCAAAGTGTTCTTTCCGGTTCCATGCTTCTCGCCAATTGAAAGTGCAATAAAAAGCAGTGAATAATAAGGTTCTAAATTGTATAACACAGACCATGTGAGTCCAGCTTGGTTGAGTGAGAGCAGAGATCACTGGAGATGAAGAGGTTTGAGGGAAGATGGAATTTGATCTGAACCTTGAAAGTGAGACAGGTGTGGTGAGAAGCTCAGAGCCAGGAGGGATTTAGGGACAGTTGGAGGGACGATCCCAACACTAGAAGAAACCTGAGAACAGAGGGACAACAGCAGCCAAGCAGGAGGAAATTATGGAGGAAGATTAGAGGGTCAGCCTGGGCTTTCTGGAAGGCTCCAAATCCCAGTGTGAGGAGCTAGACTCAATCCTGCCTATGGCCCTGGCAGCGGGGGATTACTGGAAGTTCCTGAGTAGGGAAGTAACTTCTGAGAGCTTGGTTTTGGGGGAAACAGACCACGTGCAGGGGAGAGGCCAGCCAGGGATGCTGTGCTCATTTCAGCGTGATGTAGCTCCAGAGCAGGTTGTATGGGGTTGCCTGTATTTAAGGATATGGCAGGGTGTGTAGCTGGAAGAGCAGGTAAGAGGGCTCTTTCTGGGCCTCAGTGTAGCTGACGTAGTGGCAGGTCAAGGGGAGGAGATCTTATATGATAGAGAAGGCTGGGCGGAGGGCCACACAGAACGCTTGGGAAGCAGGAGAGTGGTGAAGGAGGTGATAAACCAGGAAAACCAGAGCAGCGTGTCTTCAGGCCCTGAGCTGGGGAGAAGGTCAGCCAGTAAGGTTCTCCAGGCTGGGTGGCTGGGTTGTCTCCATGGTGGAGCAGTTGACCCAGCCAAGTCCCCCGTTCTGTCCTAGAGCTCCCCCCAACACCAGCCTCCCCTCTCCTCCCCCTCCCAGGACATAGCGGATTTTCTTCAACGGCTTGTGGCGAGTGATCCCCAGGGCCTGCACCGGATCCATGTGGACGGGAGCAGTGGGCGGCTACAGCTCTGGCACCATGGTGGGGCGTGCAGGGGCCGAGCCCAGGGATCGAGGCTGGTACCCTGGGGAGGGCTGGCCCTCAGATGTTCCTCTCTCTCATGTACCTTTTTCTTTCCCTTCTCCCTGTCCCTCCGGACAGATTACCTCCTGGACCATTTCTGCGATGAGGGGAAAACGCCTAGACAGAGTGACATGGCCAAGGGGGTCAAGGGACTGGGCACCTACTGTGGTCTCCGAAAGTCCTTCCTTTTTCCTCCTCAAGGGTCTGAGCCCTGCCCTCCTAGCCCCTCCGCCCCTTCCCCTGGTGGCTCAGACAGCCTACTTCAGGTGGCCATGCCCCAGAAGCTCCTGCTGACAGAAGAGGTAAGACTGTCAGCAAGGGGCCTCCCCTCGCCCAGTGCTCTTCTAACTGCCATGTGCCCTCATCCGTCTGGCCCCTAATCTGGACCTTTCAAGGTCCTTCCATCCTGCTGGCCTCCCTTTGTTTTTCTCGTTCTCCCTCTCTCTCTTTTCCGGTCACCTGCCTTTTCTTCTCCAGGAAGCCAACCACCTGGCTGAGGAGCTGGTAGCTGAAGAGGAGCGCATGAAACAGAGAGCAGAGAAGAAACGACTCAAGAAGAAGGTAGCTGGAGAGCAGGAGGAGTGGGAACCTAGAGGGATTGGGGAAAGGGAAAGGGGGACACATTGTGAGGACAGGAAAGAACTTGGGGTAGCCCATAATGGATCCTCTTGTGAGAGGGGGCCCAGGGGGCTCAGAGCCTAAAGGGGAGGGTCTCATGGAAGCCCTATTGTGTGATGGTTCTGGAGTCACACTGTGCCGCCTGGGCTGGATTCTGCCTCTTTCTTACTGGGGGACCTCTGCCTGGCGGGTCTCCTGTCTGCTTTTTCCCCTGTAACACAAAGATAACAACAAAACCTACCTCATGGAGTTGCAGGGATCAAATGAGATAGTGTGTGCAAAGCTCTTAACCTGGTACACAACCTGTAGTCTCTACTGTACATGTAAAGAATTGGCTTCAAGATACAGATTGTGTGTGTGTGTGTGTGTGTGTGTGTGTGTGTATTTACATGTAGTGTTCAAAATATATCATCAGCGTCAGCATCATTATCATTGCAGCGTCAAAAGGATCGCAAGCGACAGGAGCGCTTGGAGCAGGAGGGTGGGGAGCCCAAGGTGAGTGTCTCCAAGCA